TCAATTATTAGTGGTCTCAGCTCCAGTGTTACTTTCTCCAGGTAGCCTTCAGAACCAGCTCCTTTCCTCCCACCCTCAAAACACGGACAGACAGACAGACAGACAGACACACACACACACACACACACAGAGTCTGGATTACGTGCCTTCTTCTGTGTACTTCAAAAACACCCTTCACCCATGCATCTATAGCATGAATCTCATTGCCTCGGTGCTTATCTATGCTACTATCTTCCTCACTAGCAGAGACTGCCTTGAGCACATCTGTTTTGTTCACCTCCGAATCTCTTTCGACTTACACAGCATCTGGCACACAACAGATGCCCATACCTCCAAATATTTGTTAGATAAATAAATTTTAGAACTAAATAAATCAAGACTGATATAACTGATACATTTTTTGGTGTCTAAATTATGATATTCTAGTTAATCCTTTTAACATAGCACAAAAAGAAACAGATTTTGACCTTGTAAAAAGTATAAAAATTTGAATAGAGTTGTGATTACTAAAGAACTAATACTGTGGCTAGAAAAGAACACTTACATTATTGTGTACTTCTATTTGTTGGCCTCATTTTATCATAACTATAGATTTGGAGACTTCCGCTTTCAGCCAAGATGGAGGAACAGAACAGATTCACTTTCCCATCTGAAACAATCTCCCCTCCTCTAAAAAAGAGAAGACAAAATATTTGAAACAATGGTTTTCAGGATAGGGGAAACTGGTCAATGAATGGCTATGATCTCTGAGAGACAGAAAAAATATGAGGTGAGCCCTGTGATTGCCCCCAAATTATTATTATTTTTATTTTTGAGACAGAGTCTCACTCTGTCTCCTGGGCTGGAGTATAGTGGCATGATGTCTGCTCACTGCAACCTCTGCCTCCCGTGTTCAGGCGATTCTTGTGCTTCAGCCTCCCAAGTAGCTGGGATTACAGGTGCCTGCCACCACACCTGGCTAATTTTTCATATTTTTAGTAAAGCCAGGATTTCACCATGTTAGCCAGGCTGTTCTTGAACTCCTGGCCTCAAGTGATCTGCCCGCCTCAGACTCCTAAAATGCGGGAGTTACAGATATGAGTCACCATGCCCGGCCTTGCCCCCAAATTATTACGATGAGAGAGTACTGACACCATGGTACAGGAAAAGGGAACTCAGTTGAGCGTTAGGGACTTCCTGAGCTGAGAAGATAGAGCTGAAAATCTGGGGAGACCAAGAGAGCTGGAGTTCACAGAACAGAGTGCTGGAGAGGAGAAAACTGCATAGAGAAAGAAATCAGAGACCTCCTTTGAGTATTCAGGAGAATGCTGATTAACTCATGCATGTAGGGAAACTGCAAGAGGTCAGAGAAAGAACTTTTCAAAGGATGGAAGGGGGCAGTGTTCAGTTTCTACATAGGGGTGGGGATGATACTTATTTCCACCAGCCAGATTGGAAAATATGAAAAAATAACCATATGAAATAAATACTTTTTCAGTGATATAAAACCGACAGCAATCCACACTACAAGAACTCTGGAAGTTTTTTTTTTTTTTTTTTTGAGACAGAGTTTTGCTCTTGTTACCCAGCCTGGAGTGCAATGGCGAGATCTGGGCTCACCGCAACCTCCGCCTCCTGGGTTCAGGCAATTCTCCTGCCTCAGCCTCCTGAGTAGCTGGGATTACAGGCACGCACCACCATGCCCAGCTAATTTTTTGTATTTTTAGTCGAGACGGGGTTTCACCATGTTGACCAGGATGGTCTCGATCTCTTGACCTCGTGATCCACCCGCCTCGGCCTCCCAAAGTGCTGGGATTATAGGCGTGAGCCACTGTGCCCGGCCGAACTCTGGAAGTTCTTAAAACAGAAGGAAAATGACATCCCAAAGAAATATGAGTTTATCTAACTAAAGTAATGGAAAACATCAAAAAATGTACATAACTATAAAGACTCTTTTTTTCTTATTTAAATATTCTTAAAAGATATCCTTTTGTTTTAAACAAAGTAACATAGTGTGAAGTTTATAACATATATAGAAATAAAATATGTGATACAATTGCATAAAGAACAGGAGGGAAGAAATAAAAGTATATTGTTGCAACCTTATACTCTATGTGAAGTAGTAAGATACAGTTTAAAAGTAGATAATTTAAGTGATATATTAAATTGTATCCTATAATCACTAAAGCAACTACTAACACAACACAACAGCGACATAGGTAATAAGTCAAGAAAATATTAAATAAAATTGTTAAAAATATTCAATCGACACACAAGAAGTAGGAACAAAAGAGAACAGAAAACAGACGGGCGAAATGGAACACAGAAGAGATGGGAGAGCGCAAAACAGTAGGTTCAAACCCAAGCATGTCAATATACATTAAATACAAATGACCTAACGTCTCAGTAAAAAAGCAATGATTGTTAGATGAAAAAGCATAACTCAACTACATGCTACCAACAAAAAGCCTAGTTTAGAAATCAAAACACAACTAGATTATAAGTAAAAAGATGAAAATATATATCATGTTAATACCAATCAAAGGAATGCTGGAGTTACTACATTAATGTCAGACAAAGTGTATTTCATTACGAATAATATTTCAGAACTAGAATAAAGAGGGTAATTATGTAATGACATGGAAGTCAAGTCATCAGGAGGATATAACACGCTTAAAAATGTGTACATCTAATAATAGATTTTGAAAAATATGAATATAAAACTAATAGAATTATAATGAAGAATAGAAAAGTTCACACTTAGAGATTTTATTATACCTTTTTCATTAATTGATAGAACAAGTACGCAGATAATCAGTTGGGTTGTAGAAGACTTGTATAGCACTATAAACCAACTTGACTTAATTGACATTATATCAAACAACAGCAGAATAAACATCCTTTTAAAGTACATTCAGAACACTGACCAAGATGAAATTCTTAGGCACTAAACAATCTTAATAAATTTAAAGGATACAAGTCAAACAAGGTATGTTCTCTGACCGCAATGGAAATAAAGTAGAAATCACTAATAGAAAGATATCTGTAAAATTCCCAAATATTTGGAAACTAAATAACATATTTCTAAATAACATGGGTCAAAGAAATTAGAATGTATTTTTTTAACTGAATAAAAGTGAAAGCACAACATAGAATTTGTTAGATACTGCTAAAGCAGTACTTAAGTGGAAATATGTAACATTAAACACTTATGTTAGAAAAGAAGACAGGACTTAATGACCCCAGCTTTCATCTTAAGAAATTAGAAAAAAGAGGAAAAAATAAATCTAAAGTAAGCAGAATAAAGGAAATAATGAATGGAAGTCAGTAAGAAGACATAAAAACAATAGAGAAAATGAATAAAACCAGGAATTATTTTTATTTTTATTATTTATTTATTTATTTGTTTGAGATGGAATCTCACTCTGTTACCCAGGCTAGAGTGCAGTGGTGCAATCTGGGCTCACTGCAACCTCCAAGCGGGCTGGAGTCCCTCACAGGGATACTCCGCAGGGCAAGGCAAAATCTCCTGGGAGGCTGTCTTGGCTGTCCACCAACCGTCAGGGAAACAAATGAAGAAGGAACAGCTGAAAACAAACCTCCCAAACACCAAACAGGGAAGGAAGTGGTCATTTTATTTAGCCTGGAGCTGCGGCAGGCATAGATGCCTCAACAACTGAGTTCCCCGACAAAGAAAACCCTGGCCCTTTTAAAGGCTTGCAGTCTAAGAGGTGCACACGTGAGAGGGTTGACAGCGTGGGGGACGTGACTAGGTGGGGGTCTGAGCAGTTGAGAAGAACAATGCCTTCCCCAGGAAAATTCTTCCATACCATGCCCGTGATCTGCAGATAGGGTTGGGGTTAGCAGTAGGGGATTTAATCCTTAACCTGGCTGGCAGTGCCAACCGGTCCTTCCACTGACCTCCTCTGGCTGACTTTTAACTTCTCCTTTTGAAACGCAATGTAGAAGACTGAAAGGGAAGTGGCCTTCGAAGCTTAAGAGGAAGGGGTCTCCTTCCTCAATAGGCTGCCCCAACTACTGCAAAAATGCGATGTTTTGAAAATAGGATGAAACGGGCTGAATCTGCACTACACATGGAAAAGCGACTCAAAGGCAACATTTTCCAGGGAACTATTACCTTTTCTCCGAATATATTAGCCCATCATGAGACGTTTTTTTTTTTTTTTTTGTCTCCGTGAACATCATTCTAGCATTTGAATTGTTATAATTTAGAGTTAAAAATGACGCTCAAGAAACTAGCAAATCATTTGTGTTCTATTTAGAAAAGACTTCATGTACCAAAATGTAAGTTTATCAAATACTTAAATATAGGCAAGGTTATGGGCACCTAAAAGATCCTGAACTTATGAAAGAAATCCTGTGTGAATTCTGATAAAAAGTCAGAATAAAGTCAGATAAAAAGCCAACCCTTGGGCCGGGCGCGGTGGCTCAAACCTGTAATCCCAGCACTTTGGGAGGCCGAGGTGGGTGGATCACGAGGTCAAGAGATCGAGACCATCCTGGTCAACATGGTGAAACCCCGTCTCTACTAAAAATACAAAAAATTAGCTGGGCATGGTGGCACGTGCCTGTAATCCCAGTTACTCAGGAGGCTGAGGCAGGAGAAATGCCTGAACCCAGGAGGCGGAGGTTGCGGTGAGCCGAGATCGCGCCATTGCACTCCAGGCTGGGTAACAAGAGCAAAACTCCGTCTCAAAAAAAAAAAAAAAAAAAAAGTCAACCCTTCGGCGTAGTTAACATACTTTTTCAATTTGCAAGATCTTGATGTGCAATCACTTGGGGATAGCTAGAGTGAGGTATATGTAAGGTGGTCTGTACTTACATAAACATTTTACTGTGACCGGGAGTGAGCCAGCATGGGACATTTATTATCACCCTTATTTCAGCATCTCTTATTATACATCACTGACAATACACCGTCTGCTCCCCCTTCCAGGCAGCAATTTCTGCCTGACGAAAAGCTTAGATACGCCAACAACAGCAATTACAAAAATGATGTCATGATCAGAAAAGAGGCTTATGTGCACAAGAGTGTAACGGAAGAACTGAAGAGAATTATTGATGACAGTGAAATTACAAAAGAAGATGAGGCTTTGTGGCCTCCCCATGATAGGGTTGGCCGACAGGAGCTTGAAATTGTCATTGGAGATGAGCACATATCTTTTACCACATCAAAAATAGGTTCTCTTATTGATGTAAATCAGTCAAAGGATCCTGAAGGCCTTCGAGTATTTTACTATTTGGTACAAGACTTGAAATGTTTAGTTTTCAGTCTCATTGGATTACACTTCAAGATTAAACCAATTTAAATTCCGTGTTTTTCAAGCTGTTTGTATATTTAAATAAGGGATGGAGGGTTTATTTGTCATTTACAATATTGGGGTTTTTATGAATGTGAAGCCAAAAAAATTTGTATGTAAACTGAAAATAAGAAAATACATTAACAGTCTCAATGGTTATCCTAACTTGAGTCCACGTGGTTTGGACAGTCCCCACACACATTAAATTCTGTAAATAAAAGCCACCTTTTGTTAAAAATTTGCTCCTAAAACATGCAAAAAAAAATTGACAAAAATGACAAAATTATACATCACTGACAATTTTGACTTTGAGCAGTATCCCTTAGGTCATAAGGAGAGAGAGAGAAAAAGAGTTAGGCTCCAGTTGACTTTTTCTAGGCCAGAGTTTGTTATTCGCATGAAAGTCCCTTAATGTTGGCTAAGAGTTCTCAAAGGCAATTGTCAGTCTGCTGACACCATCGAAGGAGTGATTCCCTGAAAAAGGCCAAAGCATGAGGGATTCCTTCATGGGTCCTTGTCTGGTTGGGTTGCAGTGGCCAAGCAGATGAGAATCTGGATTGGATGACCAATCTCATCTGTCTGGCATCTTGAAAGGGGCGGAAACATTTCTGACCTGCCACTGTATCAGATCTGCTGGCTGAGAACCAACTGCCTCGTCCCAGTCTATAATTTGACAGCATACAGCAGCAAGACCCCTGGTCTGGGTGATCATGGAAAGAGAACAAACCAGGTTGGGGAAAGAGGTGCAAATGTTCTTTCACTTCAAAGAACAATACACGTTTAGAGTGTTTTCTCATTGTTATCCCTCCGTTCACTGCACATTTACTGAGAAACACTATGTTAAGTGTTTAATCTTTACATTAATCCTGTTGAGGAAATATCACTTCCCCTACTTTACAGATAAGATATGTTAGACTCAGAGACTCTTTTGTCTTCTCCAAATCTCCACCCAATGGAATCATGTGCAGGATAATCTGAGAGCCCTTGAAACTCACTTGCTCCAGTCATCTGCTACCAGGACCTACCACATGAGTCAGGTCTCTGACCCCATGACTTTGAGAGAATTACTCAGTTTATGGTTCACTTTATGTTCAACTTGGCTCAGCTAAGGGACACCCAGATAGCTGGTAAAATGTTATTTCTGGGTGTGTCTGTGAGGGTGTTTCAGGAAGAGAATAGTAGACTGACTAAAGAAGATTCCCCTTCACCAATGTGGTCGGCATCATCCAATCCATTGAGGGCCCAAGTAGAAAAAATTAGGTGGAGGAAAGGGGAATTTCCTCTCCCTCCTTTTTTTTTTTTTTTTTTTTTTTTTTTTTTTTGTTGGGGGGACAGTCTCGTTCTATTGCCCAGGCTGGAGTGCAGGGCAAAATCTCGGCTCACCACCACCTCTGCCTCCTGGGTTCAAGCAATTCTCCTGCCTCAGCCTCCTGTGTAGCTGGGACTACAGGCGCGTGCCACCATGCCCAGCTAGTTTTTTTGTACTTTTAGTAGCGACGGGGTTTCACTGTGTTGGCCAAGCTGGTCTCCAACTCCTGACCTTGTGATTGGACCACCTTGGCTTCCCAAAGTGCTGGGATTACAGGTGTGAGCCGCTGCACCTGGCCCAGTTCCTCTCTTTTTTTGAGCTGGGACTTCCATCTTCTTCTGCTTTCAGATATTGGTGTTCTTGGTTCTTGGATCTTTGGACTCCGGAACTTTCACCAGCAGTCCCTCAATCCTCAGACCTTAGGCCTTGGACTGAATTACACAGCTGGCTTTCCTGGGTGCTCAGGGTGCAGATGGCAGAGGTAGGACTTCTTGGCCAATTGCCACAATAAATCTCTTCACATATGTATGGATATATATCCTATTAGTTCTGTTTCTCGGAATGACCCTGACCAATATACTTATCTTCTCTGTTCATCTGTTGCTCTCGGACACAAGATAATAACATCATTGCTTTTCTGTGGCTGTTCGCAAAGTTGACAATGACTCAGGTGGCAGAGCAGCAGAAACCTCTGGGGGAGCGGGGAGCAGGTCACCTCTAGGCAGGGCTGTGTGTGACTTTCATGGGCCTTGGGCACTTCTGCCTTTATGGACATTTTCCTCCATAAAAATATTTTAAAATGTGTTGGTATAAAGATGAATATATTAATATTTATGAAGACATTTTCTTTGACCCCAAAGTTAATTTTTTCTTGTGACTTTTAAAGGAATTAAAACATTTCTTGGGGGGCCTCTAAAGGTATAATGGGCCCTAAGCACTGTGCCCCACTGTACCTAACAGAGAGATAGACCCTGCCTGCAAAGTGACTCGAAGACCATGCTATCTGCCCACTACAGATGCTGCAACATAGCAGTTAGGAGTTGCAGTTAGAGAGATCTGGATTTGAACCCTGGCTCTGCTAAAGTGGCTGTGGTATATTTGGGAAGTTGCTTAACTTCTCGGAGTCTAACGTACCTTATCTGTAAAGTAGGGAAAGTGGTATTTCCTCAACAGGATTGATGTAAATGTTAAACACTCAGTGAATGTGCAGCGAATGGAGTGATAACAATCAGAAAACACTCCGAATGTGCATTGTTCTTCAAAGCGAGACTCATTTGTATTCTTTCTGTTTCCTATGCCCAAAGCCTGGAGTTCTGGAAGTGGGGTGTAATCTACAGTTCAGAGTTAAGGGACTGTAGCAAAATCTAGTAAGTGGTAGAAGGCACGGAGCAGGAAGATTATCACAAAAATCAAAGTCTATCTCATTTCTCATCTTGCTAAGTGCCACCCAAGAAGTGGCCTAAATGCAGCTAGGCTGGTTATTTGGGGGACTTGCTGTCTGTTCAGGTGAGGAAGGAGTGAAGTAAAATGGACACCAGCCCCTTTCAGTCCACCTCTAGATTTGCAGGGATCAAGTGCTTTACCCAAGACAGGGCCCAGCAAAACATTGGGCAAGTGACGATGAAAATAATAACTCAACCAATGAACTGATTATAAACGGTAAACAGATCTGATCTTTTGTATGACAGGTTCCAAGCTGCTTATGTGGTAAACAAAACAAAACAAAACAAATCTCTTCTTCCCAAGCTTGAAAGGCATGCAAATGAAGATTCAGTAGGGTGCATAAAATCCTCTTTTAAAATGCAAATCTCCAAGGGATGTTTATGGGGCTACCAATCATTCTCACCTTAGAGTGAATTAGTTTAGGGAGCTTGATTTCTTCTCAGCACTTAACTGAGATTTACGTTGCTGATAAAGAGGAGGTGTGATGGGTTGAGGAAAAAGAGAGGAGAGTATATTTTGGGCCCTGTTGAAGGACAAGTTTGGAGTTTTACTGCTTTGGAGACTTTCCGTGGCTAGGAGATGCAAAGAAGCATAGGAACCCTGGAGAAGGGTTTAGTATGGGGTGGAGGATAGGTCATGATGAGAAAGGAGCATAGGGAGAGATGGGGAAACTTTCTCATCCGAATTAAAAAAAAAAAAGTAAAAATCAGGCTGGGCGTGGTGGCTCACGTCTGTAATCCCAGCACTTTGGGAGGCCGAGGTGGGTGGATCATGAGGTCAGAAGTTTGAGACCAGCCTGGCCAACACGGTGAAACCCTGTCTCTACTAAAAATACAAAAATTAGCCAGGCATGGCGCTGCACGCCTATAATTATAGCTATTCAGGAGACTGAGGCAGGAGAATCGTTTGAACCCTGGAGGCGGAGGTTGCATGAGCCGAGAGTGCACCATTGCACTCCAGCCTGGGTGACAGAACAAGACTTCATCTCAAAAAAAAAAAAAAAAAAAAAAAGGTAAAATCAGGGTCTTTAACTGTTTTATGAAAGAATAAATTGTCATCCTCTTGGATGCAATTATCTCCACCTCAATCTCTGCTCTGAAAATCCTTTGCACGTGGCCCGGCAAACGTCAGGAAGCAAGCTTTTTCTCATCTCACCAACAAATTACATTTGTGAGTTTGAAAATATGCTTCTTGATTGCTTGGTAGAATTTGAACGGGCCTACATGAAAAATCTGAAATTTTATGATAACCCCCTAGAGAAACACGTCTTTTGGAATTTACTTAATTACAGAGCATTCATTTAATATGATTATTTATCTTGATTTAAAAAATTTCATCTACAGGTTGCTAACTGAGCTTGAAAGGGAATCCCCACTGGCCCAGTGAAGTGAGGCTGTAAGAAACTCCCTGGGGAATGTTTATGATTCTAGGCCAGAAACTGTTGTTTCCGAAAATCATCAAGATAAATTGTTCTGAGTATTTACTCCCACTTCCCAAGGGTGAGCAGAGTCAGTCCCTCAGCTAGCTAAGGTTGATTATGAAAGCACTGGTGCAGCTGGAAGAAAGGCATCTTGTAAATTGTGCTTTAATGAGCACGGCGGTATGTCGCGAGGCATTCGCTCTCTTGGTTGTCTTGGCCTCTAACTCAAGAGACATTTGTAAGCTTCCTGATGTGGTAGTGCCTAAGCCTGGTGATGATCCTGATGAAGCAGCCCAAAGTCTTCCCTAGACCTAAGATTTATGCATTGCTATCCTCTCTTTTTCACTGCAATTATACTGTATTTCTGCTATCTGATCCCAGGACAGCTAGGACAATGAACTACAGTCACAAACATATAAGGTCTCCTTTCTGAGTTTTTGCTTTCCTTTAGAATCTAAACCAGCCGTTTTCATAAGCTCTAAATCCCTTAAGCAACCACCTGAATAGCATTATAGATAAAAATAAAACAACCCATTTCTTGCTCTTTCCATGAGACAGTGTACTAGGGATGTGAAGACTCAATTGTGCTTAGAGTATTTTTATCCAGATAAAAGAATAGTAATGTCTGTGATTTTGACCCACTTTAAATTTGCTTGGCTTGACTAGGCAGCTGACCCATCCTGGTACATGGTGGGAGGGTGGGAACTTTCAAGTCAGAGGACCTGGGTTTGAATCCCCGCTCTGCCGCTTACTAGCTAAAGCCACTGAGACTAGTTCCTTTTGGTCCAGTTATTTTTTAAACTTGTAACAGAGAAACAGCAAACATAATATCCAGCT